TGCCAAATGTGTTACGGCTGAAGTACACAATAAATACTCAAATGCACAATAAATGCATTTCTTTTTGAAAAGTACACTATAGCATTCAATGGATGTGAATAGAAAATGATTCAAGAATTGGAATTCAAACCTTTGAGTATGCACTTATCTGAAGATAATAATAATAATAATAATAATAATCCTTGCATTTGATATAGCGCTTTTCACGTCGGGAGGACGTCCCAAAGCGCTTCACAGAATACACTGTAAAGTGAATTGACTGTATATTTGTGGGCGAACGCGGCAGCCAATTGCGCACAGCAATGTCCCACAAACAGTCGTAGATTGAAAATGACCAATTTATTATTGTTTTTTTGTTTTTTTGGAGGGATTATTATTAGGCGTGTGGAGTAAGGAAACTTGCCCAAGGTTTCGCCCTGCCTGGAATTGAACTCAGGTCTCTCGCTTGCAAAGCGAGTGCTCTAACCACTGAGCTACAGGACTTCTATGACTCTATACGTCCCCACTTCAAGTATTTTGATTTGAACCACTATGTCCGTTAGTTTCCCCAAGAGCAGTCTACTCTCCTGGCACAAAATTGCAGAACCACACAGTGATCTTGTGTTTAATTGTATGCATGCGTTTGTCCTGGATTAAATGTATTTAAATGCTTGAGCTGGAACCTAAGTATTCTCTGGATCAGCAAACCTCAATGTTCACCACTTGCTATTTGAGCCTCAGTCCTCAATTATTTTTGAGAAAAGCCTATGTGATGCCCATCTTGCTATGTTTTTCCCCCACTTAATATACAAAAATGATCAACAGAAAAAGGCACTTGACCCATATTTTTCCATTTCATGGGGCATGTGCCCTTTAAGAAGAATAAATGGTTGATGGCATGATTTCATGTTGTGTACCTTTGTTCTGATTTATTGAGAAAGCCTTCCGTTATAGTGAAATGCGCGCTTGGATCCAATGGAATCTAACTTGCGCACAGACAGTTTACAAAATCAAAGGTTTATTAACACAGGAAGGAAGTTTCAGTGGCCAAGGAGTCTTGCGTGCACAAAACACTTCCTACCTCCAACAGCAAATGTATCCCAGAGTTGAAGGCACGTGGGTTTCCGATCCTACACCCACTTTGCTGTTTTCTAACTCTCGATTCATCTCAGCCTCACAGCCAACTCTCAACAGCCAAGTCTTCACCAGCCCATGTGGCAAGCCAGAGGCTTCCTTTGGCCTGTCCTCACAGTGGTAGGACCTGCCCTGACTGCAGTCCAGAACAATGAGACTTTCCAGGGGTTCAGTTTGCACCTTTAAATGACCCAGGCCTCACATTCCCTCCAGTATATTCCGTAGTGGCCGTCCCCACTTCCAGTACCCAGATTTGTTTGCAGTGTTAAACCATCCTTAAATAGAATATTGATTTTAGTATAAACTATAAATGAGCTGTAATTTTTTTTTCAAATTGTAAAACTGCATAAGTCACGGATCTGGAATTCTTCAAATGTACATCTGTATGGTAAATGTTTAGTTTGGGGAAAAATAGTCAAAAATGTTTTTTGTTTGCTATAAGTAACTATAATTGACACAGACAGTTATTGTGTACTCTTATGAGTTCATTACTTAATTGCGCATATGCTACAAGGTTGTTACTAGCAAAAAAATATTTTATATGGTTGGATATGGTTGCAGTATCTTCAACTCGCCTATCACAAACATTGCTAGGCAATTCTTTTTCTTCCCTTCCCCCAGCTATAATAAAATCAGTAGAAATTGTGTGGCTCCAACTATCTGTTAATGTCTACCAAAATAGCTAAACGCTTCACATGATTTTAAACAAACCTCATAGGTACCCAGTGCCTGTACTGAAACTCCTTTTAAAACTACTAGCTCAGAACAGACTGTGGGTTCACATGTCTATAAAAAGTTATATATTATTTCAATAACTGCAAACATTATGTTAAATTTGCCCCATGTTTAACATTTGGGCTTATTGTCTCCTCTGGGATAGAATTTGCATTTTTTTTAAAACTGTGAAAGCCGTAAAAAGATTTTTATTTAAGGCAGAATTGAATTTATTTAGGTTACCAAAAANTGAGAATCTATAGCTTGTGTACTCACTTTTTGCATGATTACACGTTAACAAGCGAAAGTGCTAGTTCCTAAGAACATGAGTATTCGAATGTTGAAATGATCAAATAAACTTACTTGGGGTTGCTGAAAGTTCCAGTTGTCAAAAAGGAGTGTCCAGGAGTTTTTAGGAGTTTTAGTGTGCCACTCAATAGTCTGGATTTTTTTTCTATTATGCCCAAAGGAGATCGTTTCTATAATCTTTTTATTTGTATTTTTAAAAAGCTGTGGATTTTGTAGATAGGATTGTAAACCCCTTGGAGAAGTGTTTGCAAGCTTGTATATCAATGTATGGTATTTTTGTGTGTGCAAGTTGGGAGTCTCTTCATCCCTTTTTTTTCATCAGTTTATTCAATAAAACTTCTTAGCACATTCTACAGCACTATTGACTTGTAGTGAGTCAAGTTTACATATTCAACAGTCAGCTATTTTGTTGCTGATGGACCATATACTGAAGATGATTTGCAATAATATTCAGCCTTGAGCTTGTCATTCCACTATGAAGCTCAACCACTATGCAATTAGCTTTTTATTAACTTAAAAAGCCAGCCTGTGCTCTTAGTGCTGATGAAGAGCGAGTAGCCTCTCTGACATATTTACTAAATTAAAAATGTCACCCATAGTTGTATATGCTTAATGCACCAGTACACTGTGTGGAGCAGCAGTATTACATTCTGCTGCCTATTTGTAATAACTCCAGGTTCCAATGTAGTGTCACTGGGCCATCAGTTTAATTGCCCTGCTAGCTTGTGACTACAAGTCAATAGTGCTGTAGAATGTGCTTTGAAGTTTTATTGAATAAACTGATGAAAAAAAGGGATGAAGAGACTCCCAACTTGCACACACTTGTTTAAACACTTGTCCATAGCCAAGATGACCCTCACAGGATGCTCTTATCTGTTAAAGAGTGCCCAGCGTATATGTGGATTGGGTTAGAGGAAACTTATCTGCAGTGAGCACAACAGAAAAAAAAGAACATCCAGATTATTGAGTGGCACAATGTTTTTATTAAGTTCTATAACTGGTTGGAGAAGCAAAAAAAACTTTGAAAAAGTTTAAATATTTCCTCAAATACTCCTTCATCTTTTGACAACTAGAAATTTCACTTAATTTGTGGTATCATCTCACTTTAGCTGAACAAAAACTAGATAATAAATAGTCATTGAGCCATTTTTGATATTTTTTTAACCTGACAGTCGGGTAGGAAGAAATATTTTCGAAAAACGTTTGAAGATAGTAATGGATTAGGTGGTCACAATTTGTTTCATGCAATGGATTTGATAACATGCTCCAGGTTAAACTGCCAAAGTTTGCATCGCACTTTGTTGTTTTTATTAATTGCCGTTTTTTTTCTGATTTGTTGCCCTTTTTCACTTGTCCTGCTACATTAACTCCTTCATCTTTCAATACTTGGCCCAAGTATTCATTAAAATACAAATGTACATTTTTATATAATGTTCCTTACTTTGGGAGGACATCCCAAGGAGCTTGACAGACCTGGTTTGGCACCCATTCTGGGGGTGGAAACTCTGTAGGGAGGGGAAAGTTGACAGAAGACACAATTAAGTGTATTACTCGTGTGTGAGCCTTGATGGTGTGCATTGGTCGGCTATTCATTCAACCCGGGCTGAGGCGGGGTCTGTCACTGATGTCTTTGATCCTGTTTTTGCAACATCGAGTCCTGAAGCTCATTGGTTAGAGCACTCGCCTGGGTTTGATTCCTGGCGGGATGAAATGCTGGGCAAGTTTCCTTACTTAACACACCTCTGTTCACCTAGCAGTAATTAGGAACCCGGTTGTTCGTTGATTGGTCGATCGCTTTTCTGGGGGTAATAATTCCTTCAAATAATAATAATAAATTGGTCATTCAATCCACAACTGCTGTGTGCAATTGGCTGGCATTTTCACCCACAATCAATTCACTTTACGGTATAGTCTGTGAAGCGCTTTGAGATGTCTCGGAAGACGTGATAAGGTGCTATATCAAATGCAAGTATTATTATCTTTGCAATTGCATTTAATTCTATATGTTCCAGTAACCTCCACAATTCCAACACATTTTCTCTACCAATGCAGTGTAGTGTAAGAATCCATTTGCATTGCCAATTCTGGATTGTATTCTAAGTAGATGTGTGAAGCTGAGAGGCTCTTAAAATTTCTGAGTTCAGGATCTTTTATGTAGTTTTTAACACTGATCAGAATAGCTGTCTTGTTACTGATTCTGAAACCTGAAATTGTGCAGTTCTGGCTTGGCTCATAGCAAACCCTGCTACCTGTCCATTCTTTCCAGTCAAGGCTGAGGTTGGATGTGTGTAAATCCCTACATCCTCCAAAATGGCAAAAGACTATGTTATTTAGTTCAGTCACTACATGGTAATGTGTAAAGATAACTTTAAAAAAAAGATTGAAAGGCAGTTTTTCATGTGGATGTTTTTACGGCAAGTTTTTTTTTATATTCTGGATTTTTTTCAACAATGCAATGTTGCCTAAGTACCTAAATTGAATAAAATATAACTTACTGTTGTAGTCCAAATGTAGGAGTTTTGGGAGAATTCTTAGAGATTTAGTATTCTTAGTCTTAATCGAAGTTTAACTACGGTTTTTAAAATGCAGCAAAGCTTGCTAAATTGACTGACTCAATATTCTTTTTTCTCCTCCAGCATTCAGTTATTTTAACCACCAAATTGTACTTTTTTAAAAAATATATTTTCATGGGATCTGAACATGCCCAATTTCTGATTTAAAATATCTAAATCATTGACAATTTTAGCATTGCTTAGCAAGGCTAAGCATAAAATTAAGTTAAATATTTTGATGCAGAATTAACTGTATTCTTATATTGCATAAGTGTATCTTCAATCATTTTAATATATTTTTAATTTCCTCAGCTACCAGCTTAATCTATGGAAAAAGTTGGAAAAATGTGGAACAATCTAAAATGCAGATGCCAGAATCTTTTCACCAATGAAGGTGGAGACAGAAATGAAAAGAACTCTCCAAGCCATTGTATTGATAAGAATGCAAGTATTCACGTTGGTAATCTGCCGCAGCAATGCCTGAATAGTCCATTGAATAGACGTGGAATTATGCCACTGGTCACAGATGTGCTGGAAAAGAAAGATCGAAGGAATGGAAACTGTGTTTCTGAAATCCCAGCAATTGTTGAAGCTGATGTAGATAAAGAAAACACAGATTTGCCTGCTGCACCAGAAACATCTGTGGTTCGAAGAGACTCCTACTCCCGCCATGCTCCATGGGGTGGGAAGAAAAATCATTCTTGTTCCACAAAAACACAGACTTCATTGGATACAGATAAGCGTTTTAGTAGGACCAGGTCGGGGTTGCACAGACGGGAAAGACGGTATGGTGTGAGCTCTATGCATGACATGGAGAATGTGTCTAATCGGACTGTGACACGACCATCCGTGCGCCAACGTTTTCAAGAAACTGTGGGCCTGTGTTTTCCTATACGAGCACGCAAACAGTCCAAAGGCTTATTCTCGAGCAGGAGAAAGATTCTTCTATCAGAACTGATGCTTGAAAAATGTCCTTTTCCATCTGGTTCAGACCTCGCCCAGAAATGGCATCTTATAAAACAACATACTGCTCCTGTCAGCCCACAGTCAGCCTGTTGGCTGGAGACTTTTGATACTGCATTTGCTTCCACAGAAGATGAAGAAGATCGCCTTCGTGAAAGACGCAGACTTAGCATCGAAGAGGGGGTTGACCCTCCTCCCAATGCTCTTATACACACTTTTGAAGCAACTGCACAGATTAATCAAACATATAAGCTGGGACCAAAGCTAGCCCCTGGGATGAGTGAGCTTTCAGGTGACAACCGTCCAATGACAAATGGAGACTGGGACTGTGAAGCGGACACAACCACAACAACTCTCTGTCTTCAGGCACGCAAACAAAAGCCAAGGCAGCTACCGGGAGAAAATCTTTCTGTTTCTGCTAGACCTGGACCTTGGAAAGTGCACACGCAGATTGACTACATTCACTGCTTGGTGCCAGACTTGCTTCAGATTACAAGTAACCCTTGTTACTGGGGAGTAATGGATCGATATGAAGCTGAGGCACTTCTTGAAGGCAAACCCGAAGGCACTTTTTTACTCAGGGACTCTGCACAAGAGGACTACCTCTTCTCTGTCAGCTTCCGCCGTTATAATCGCTCCTTGCATGCCAGGATAGAGCAATGGAATCACAATTTTAGCTTTGATGCTCACGATCCCTGTGTGTTCCACTCCTCTACAGTCACGGGCCTCCTGGAACATTATAAAGATCCCAGTTCATGCATGTTTTTTGAACCTTTGCTTACAGTCCCACTAACCAGGGCACTTCCTTTCAGCCTGCAGTACATTTGCCGTGCAGCCATCTGCAACTGTACGACATACGATGGCATAGATGCACTTCCTCTTCCCTCAGTTGTCCAGGAGTATCTGAAGGAGTACCACTACAAACAAAAAGTGAGGGTTCGATGGTTAGAACGAGAACCGTCCAAAGTCAAATGAAGATCTGCACGCAGCTGTTTTGCGTGGCATTTTGGAGAGAGAGAATGAAAATAAATATTTTGACTTCCCAGGCACATGGGAAAACATTCTAGTTCTAAAATGATCAGTTTGAGTTTGACTTTGCAATCTGGGTTTCTGAAGGTTTTCTTGCAGCTGCCTTTAGGTACTAGAGCACAACATAATTGTGCTGTGACTTTCAGATGTTCAAGGTACATCTGCAGACTTAACTTGTGTGCATGTATTTATTAGGCTGAAATTTGGCAACTTGCTAATTTTTTTATAGCTGTCTGTGTGCAGAATACAAGCTGAAACAAATTCTTGATTTAGGGCAACTATTGAGCTCTGATAAGATTTCATGCAGATGCTATATATACTGTGCACATTTACTGTAAAATTACTAATTCAAGTGTTGTGTTGTGAATTTGAAGTATTCTGTAAAAGATTTGAATTGAATTAGGAAAAATGTTACCATTTTGGAGACGTACCTTTTTATTCTGGGTGACCATCATGGTATATTATCTTTGAAAAGTTTAGTCAGATTGAAAAAACATAGTTATAACCACCGATAGGTAAGATTTCCATGCAATTAATGCATATTGTAGTGATTTTGACAGCAAGTATAACAAATGAGAATTTCCATATGTCTACCAGAAAATGATCGTACTTATTGTAAGAGCGAATGAATACCATTTTGGTTACCCTGTGTAAAATTCATATGATCAGATTCCCTGATTAAATTGCATTAAAAAATGAACCACAACTTTGAAATATTTGAACAAAGTGTTGTGTGAATTACAATTTTACAGATCTAGGATTTACACTTTGAGATTAAAGCATTCAAGGGCCTGTGAGAAAGAATCCAGGCTAGCATTTGTGCAGTCAGAATAGATTATTTTTTTACAATCCAGGATAACTGATTTGCTGATATATAGGAAGTTGAATCTCCTGATTTTTCTAGCTACTGTTCTAGCAGTAGCTTGTATGTTGCAAAAATGTTACAAAGAGAATAATTTTGAAAGGTCTTTAATTTAAACATGAAGATGGGCGAAATTCTACCTGGGTTTTAGATTTGCTCTAGAATTTTAGAGTGTCCAGAAGTTGACAATTTTTTAATTGCAGCCTATATTTTGGAAATGTTATTCTTATTTTAAGAGCTACTGGAAAAACGATTGCAAAGTTGAGACCGAATTCAATAATTTAACTTCTAGATGCTGTAAAATGCCACAAACAGTAAATCTGGATCTAGGGGAAATTTCTCCTCTTGCATCTGCTTCTGTTCAGCATTGCCCTCATCAAACTTGAGGTTTAGTAATTTCTCTTTTTGTGAAATTCTTGTACAAAGGAATTTCAGCACAAAATCATTTTTATTTTGAGCAAATATGGTCCCAAATATCCGGATAAGGAGGTATGGCCAAACTTTTAGTGTGTTTTGCTAAATTATTATAATTTTGCATCGATTTTATGTCATGTATTGATGCTAATTATTTTGGACATTTTTTTGAAAAAAATGGTCTACACTGAATTTTGCACATTTAATTGCATTTTTAGAATGACAGTTGGATAACTTAATGGGACCCAAGATAAACTGTAATTGCCATTTCAAACATGAACTTCCAGTACTATATATAGCCATCTAATGAGCGGCTTCTATTGAGAATTCATTTTGCACTATAAAGGTGAAAACTATCACATATGCCACCTACATAAGTTAATGGACTTTAATTTAGCCAACACTATCACAGACTTACTTTCTTGTAATTCCAAACAACTCCAAAATATCTAGAATCATTGAAAAGAGGGTTTCAAGTGTTTTTTTCAGGTTAAACTTTTCTTGAATTATTACAACAACTTGCATTTATATTAAGTACTTGAGTGGACAAAGGTCTTCAATGTGTATTGATTCCTTAAAAGAAACCTTTGCTGTTTTGCAAATAACAGCTGTGTTTTGAAATACAAATTGAATGCCTGCAGCACTAACCAGAAGCTCGATAGTTGCTCTATGAAATGCTGTGTGGTTCTCACCTGCTTTTGTCTTGTTCATCTCGCTAACCTTTGCAGTTTGGGCTCATGAGCAGGTCACTCCTCTCCCAAGATTAACTTCTTTGGACCTGAATGTGTTGTAGCTTGCACAACAACAATAATGTCATGTCTTCCTTTGTTCTATCAGTGAATACTTTAAACGTATATTCATTTTATTTAAGCAGGGTTGTTTGTTTTTTGTATTTTATGTTTACTAAATCCATGAAAGAAAATAGCTGTGCTAGACTTTTAGTTTTTAACCATTTAGTTTGTGCATTGCTAATAGAGACATTAAATGTTGCAAGCTCCAGTAAAGCAATATATACCGAAAACTTAATATTTCAGGGTTTCCAGGTCAATTCGATATTGTACATAAAATCTCTTTAACAACACCAGCAGTGATTTTATTCCAAAATTTGTAAAAAAAAATTACATTTTCCTAGGCTTGTTTTAACAGTACACTGATATTTTGGTAGTGTGTACCAGAAATATATTCTGCAATGCTTTTAAATGCCATGCTAATAACCTCTACTTGCCATGCTAACGTTTAAGACACTGTCGACGAGTGCTGGCGATGCCAAGCTGCAGGATTAATGTGTATCAAGAAATTCAAAATGCTAGCTAAATTATACTTCAGTATGTTTGTAAATACTTCTGTTAAGATTTATATTCAATCAGCAGTGTTGGTTGTATTTGTCTATTCTAGTCATCAGTATAGTGGCCTGACTCTTGCCATTTCTATCAGCAGGTCATTTTCTTATTAAAATGTGTAAAAGCTGCACATTTAAACTGTAAATAACAGTATCACCAGCATGATTGACCTCCCAAAAGTGTATATTCAACTGGCATCTTGTCTTTTTAAATTTCTATGCCTGCAGTATGTCAGACCAATTCCAATTTCTTCCTTTGTGTTATATTGCAGTTACTTGTATTCTTAGTAAGGGATTGGTTCATTTGTTCTATTAATCCTGTTCAGGTTCTTCTCAGACCTAATATTCAAAGCAACTGTAACTGTTAGTTGGTAGAGAACTGTGACCAAAACTGTTGTGTTCAATTTATTTGTGGGTAGAGGTACTTTGGCAAGCAATAATTTCATTTTAAGATCATGCTGACTGGGCATTCTATACTATTAAATATTAGTTGTATACATTTTTTAATGGTGTAATAGTTACGTAACAACTTGCATTTATATAATAGCGCCCTTCACGCCGGACCTAACTCTTATTTGTCAGATTGCTTTTACTCAGGCTGCTAGAAGAGGTACAGAGCTGTAGTTTCACAAAACTATCTATAAACGGGGTGGTGTGATACTTGATTTTAGTTAAAAAGGTAAATCTGGAGATTTTTTTTTGCAGTGTTAAGGAGCTGGATGTGGAATTAAAGCCAAGGTGCAATGTTAAGATACCCGTGGTTTTTGATTGGGAAAAAAAAATCATGATTTGTTAAACCTCCACATACAATTCTGTGGGCTGGGGGTAGGGGATCTAGGGAGTAGTCTATTAAAGGCCCGATACTCGGATATTCCTTGCAATCAAAGGTTTGTTCTGGCATATGTCCTTATTCTCCTGATGCAGAGTTTAAAACAAGATTGTTTCACACATAAGAAAATTTTAGGATTATTTTAAACTTGTTTGTTCACCCACCATCCCGTGGTTTGTAAAAAGTTTGTTTCGTTTAAAGGCTTTATCAACTTGACTTGTCAAGTTTTATTCAGTATGCAGGTCTTTAGGACTTTACAATCCCAATGGTTGGTAGCTGGGCTGGCGTACAGTTCAGCACAAAAGCTCTTCCACTAAATATTTTGCATTATGCTAAGCTGGCCATTTTTGTGCCTGAATTATTCACATTTAAAGCCTTTTACATGAAGGTTTCTTTGGGCTGTGAGTGAGAGGATTTTCAAATGGGTTTTCAAATGATTAAATTCAAATGATTAAAGTTGGTAAATTTTAGAGCTTTGCATGAAATGGTCTGGAAACATGAGCTTTTTTCACATGATGCCAAGCTTCACAGTAGGTTCAAATCTATCTGCATATGTAGTCTATGTTTACCTAATACCACTGGTTAGATAGTGAATCTTGAGTTAGTGTGTCAGAAACGTTGAAAGCCCATGAAGAGACACTTAACTAGTCTATCCTTATTTACACTTCCATCTTGTTTTTATGATGGGTGGGGAAGGCGTTGAGCTTCCACAGCCCAAGTGTTCTTCCATCAATCGCCACAAATTCCAGCCTGATGTGGCATTCGTTCTGGTCAGAATCAGCATCAGTTGGCTCAAGTAATTTGACTTATCCAGGTTTCATCACCCAAACCTGTCTTCAGTATGAGCACTGGTGAACACCAAGGAGGTTTTACGATAGACCCAGAAACTATGGCTTCAAGTGAGATGTCTAATGAAATTCATTACTTTGGAATGATGAACCGGATAGGTGGAATACCTATCTTGGCCGAGGGGGGAGGAGCAAATGAGCAAAGTGAATCTAGGAGTTTCTTTAGTGTTTTTTTTGTATTTTTATCGCTTTCTGATACCCAAATTCAAATACAGCACAGCCTTCTGGAAAGTCATCTCTACTGGTTTGTGAGAATGCTTTGTAATGAGTTGTGCAGTCTCATTCCACATCCAGTGCATGTGGATTAACACCACAAAGCTGCCGCTAAATTGCCAACCTCCAGCCACAAGGATAGTTGAAATAGGGAATGGAAATGTTTAAGCTAGCTGTGCCAAATCTGATCCAGAAAACCTGGTGCCGGAAGCCAAAAATGAATGTTCCATTTTTCCAGCAATAATATCTGACATGATTTTTAAGCACAGCTTGCACAAGTAACTTTCAAAAGCCATACTTCAAAAGAGCTATTCACTATTATTGATGCCGGTTAATTCAGTTGGCACTCTGGATCCTCAGCTGCCCATTTCTCCTTTTATATTTCTTACAAACATTCGTAATTTGTTCAACGCCTGCTCCACAATGGTAATGTTTCTTGTCTCCCTTTACTACAGGTTCTTTTATGTTCTTATGAAGACCTGTTAGATTTGTATTTATTGGTAAGGAGACATTGTTAGTTTTAAGCCACCTTTTCTAACCTAAATTATTTGTTTTTTTTATTTAATGAAAATTTGTGCTGTTTGAGTCCTGTCAGAACAGGCAAAATAATCCTTAAATGTTGTTGTGGATTTTTAAAAAAAAAACGATTTTGTGATAACAAACCTATTAAACCCCAGTGCTATATTTGCATTACACCAGTGCTGGTGCTTTCAAATATATGTGTGTGTTTCTGTAGGGGGAAAGGACGGCAGATACCACTGTAATCTGCATATTCCTCTGCTGTTCTTGCCTTATGGATCTTTCAAACTCAAAATGAAGGAAAAATGGTAATTCAATGTTATTGGTGCCATTTCTCCCAATCCATTCAAAGTCTCATCTCTATTGAGTTTCAAAATGTGTGCTGTTTCTTTCAGTGCTGGAGTTGTTGTGTGATGATGCTCGTTTTGTACGGATATTGATTTTTTAAGCGTGTTGTACACGAATTTCCTTATTGGATTCCGAAGCACTTTGCAAGAATTTTGTAACCTATATATTCGGTTCTATGTTTAGTTTATTCCTTTATTTATTTACATCAGAACAACCTAACAGTGAAAAGAGCATATACAGAATGTAAAGACGCATGGTAGAACGTTAATTTCGTCCTTCTTCAGGGGAATCAAGGAGAAATCTCTGTCATAAGAACTTATAGAATTTAAATCTAAAAACAGAATCTACACTGCATTTGTACCACAAGATTGAGTGACTGATACCTCTGACAGTCTCATGGTATTAAAGCTTGCGGTCAAAGCTATTTGTACATTTAGTTTAGGAATTGAAAACTAGTTTTTTTAAAAATGTGCTTTATTTTTGTGAGGGCTAGATTATGAGCAAAATGGTGTAAAAGGTCCACGAGTTGCAACTGAAATGTTGTGGTGGCGGGGAGCTCTATCTGCTCTAATTGTGAATGCTTCTTCAAAATGTGAGTTACATTAAAAGTTAAAGGAATATTTACACCATTTTTGTGGGTACAGAACACTTGTGATTTGAGAGCTCACTTTATGGTCGCTGAGAGTCATGAGTGATTTTAAGTGTTGCATTACATTTTTTTCTAAATGAGCTGTGAATGATATTTTACAGAATTGACCTTTCTGATTTTCTAAACTCCCTCCAAAAAATATTTTACATTTGTGCACTTTGAGATTGTAATCTCCTTTTGGGGGAGGTTAGGGTTAGAGTTTGAGAGTGCAGAATGATATAAAAAAAATTCTTTGATGCAAATTTATTGGTTTAAAATGAGAATTGATGCTTTGTTTATTATACATGTCTGTATCTTGAGTTTTCTTCTGTTTTCTCAGATCCAGCTTCTAGTGACATGGCCAATATTATACACTTATTGTAATATCTATTCTGTATACTCTTATCAAAAAGAATAACATGTAGAGATAATGTTTACTTTGCATATGAAAAACTATGTTCATTCTGTCGTATTATACAATTTGTGGCACCATTTTTTTTCACTTTTGTATAATACAGTCCTGCAAATTTCTCCCCCCACCCAACTTTCCATAAGCTTTATTGGTGCTCTCACTCTGGCTTCATTGTCTTAATGTGGAATAAAGACTACACGCATTGAATGCATTAGTATTTATAATTTTGTCTTGGTGGTCACTATTTAATGTTATACAATTACATAGTTGCATTGAATGTTGTACAGAAATAGGCCATTCGCCTAACTAGTCTGTGTTGGTGTTTATACTCCACATGAACTTCCACTTCTCCTAATCCCCGCTCCCTTACACATCTCCACATTTTCGACCCTGCCTCCCTCTTCTCCATTTCCCACCTGCTCCCTCGACCCTGTCTCTAACCCTCTCTTGAACTCCCAGCTCCACCTCCTTGCCCCCCTGCTAATAGACATAGTCAACTCTCTTTGTTCACTGGAAGTTTCCATTTCAAATAGCTGTCATCCTCCTCCTCGAAAACTTTCCTTTAACCCAACCCTGTTCCCTAACTAACATTCCATCTCAAACTTCCCTTTTGGCATCAAGTTTCTTCTTAAATATGTGGCTTTTTTTGTTTAAACCACAGCTTCCAACGTGAGTTCTACATTCTTACCACCCTTTCTTTCTAAACTCTCTTAGATACCAATCAGTACAATTTATATGGCATCTTTTAAGTTGAAAGGACATCTCAGAGTGTTTGATCTGCTACTCATTTTGCCTCCTCGTTTTGGATTCACCAACAAGTGGAAACACTTTTAGCATCCACCTTATTGAATTCTTTCATAATGTGAAACGCCAATCAGGTCCATTCTCAATCATCTCGTCTCCAATGATAGAGGCTCTGCATCCACTCATCCCTGGTAACCTAATAAATCTATGCTGAACTTTCTACAATGCTGTAGTATCCTTCCTGGCAAACAAAATGTAAGATTGCCCCTCTGCCAATGCGAACATATGCAGTTTACATGGTTTTCTTTGTGGCTCAGGTGTCTTAAAAATCAATATCAATTTGTTAACCCCTCTTCAATGTCAGAATGTTCTTATTGTACAGATCACAGAATGACTCAGAGCTCCAGGTGAAGCTTGGACAATGTTATTGTGCATGAATACTTGACTCTGAAAATTGATCCCATTCCTCTGGTTTACTTTAATCTTTGTCGCATATGAATATTGCATTTGATCCAAGTTCAAGTGGTACATATGGAGCTGCACTTGCACATCTGCTCATGCTGAGTATATTCATAAATATAGTTTGGTGTGGTATTGGTCAAAATATTTGTTTCGGTGTAAATTCCTAAAGGTTCTTTATCCAATCATACTTCTGTTCTAGTTTAAATTTATAAACATCAGAGGTGAAAAGACCCTCTGTTTCCCATCCCAGGTTTAAAAAAATTCATCTTAATAAAGTGCAGTGTACTGCTAAACTCAATAGTTAGGAATTCAAGGACCAAGCCAAATATCTAGTAAAGTCTTGTGTAGAGTTCCCTGATTTACCTAGCAGTTTATATACTGGATAATTAAAACTACGAAAAGTGGGGGCAGAGGAAAGTACACAGGTACAAAGGCCAAATGGCCTTGGTGCTCTAAAATTCGTTAGTTATCACCCATTCCTGGAAGCAATGAATTATTTTCAGTGGTGTTAATTGAGCGTAAGACGTGAGCAAAAGGTAAGGTGTTAATCAAGATGTCCTTCAGGGATGTACAGTAGATTGCATATTGATAGGCACTATATGAAGTGCTCATTAAATGACTAACCAACCTGACCTGCTGCCAATAACATGGGTGGATTATATGGCTGGAATGGAACTGCCCTCTAATTCAAGATATATTCATCAGTGAAAACATTTTAGGAACAACTATGACATGGCGACTCATCCAGAGGCAAATCAAGAAGATCCCAGAGAAATGACATGAATAGAAATCTTCGTTACTGTGGCATTTGATGAAATTGCAGCTTTGACAATGTGCCAAAAAAGGTGGATGTGGAGATGATGACTCGAGACAAAATTATGCCTCTGACAGCACGAGAAATTATAATTGCTAGTGTGCTGCAGACTAATCAGAAGTGTGAGATACAATTACCACATTAGAGAAAGCTAGACTTGTTTTTTAAAGATAACACAACATAGCTAACCTCCAGGTTGACATCTACATATTTGTTGCACAGCAACCCCCTATTACTGTACTGTTGATAGCTGCAATAGTATGGAAAAGCCCAAAAGAAAATATGTTACTAATTCTGAAATTAGAAATTAAATTAATAATTAGAAATTGGGTCTGAAATACTGTACACTGTCCAGCGCCTTGGGACGTCCTCCCGACGTGAAAGGCGCTATACAAATGTAATCTTCTTGTTCAAGTCTGTTCTCAGCCAGTGAGATGTTCACTTTAGGTTGTTATCTATTTTACAATCCCATTAGTTGCCAGTGATTGATGGACAATTAACATTGGTTCACAGGAATTTATGGATTTGTGTGTACTCTCGTCAACTCCCATATGACTCAGTTTTGGAGGAGTCCTAGATATGCACGCAACTCTAATAATTGGTTTATGCTGTTATGTTGTTTCATGTTGGTGTGACACCAGTGACTGTAAACAATGCGACAATTGCAAGTTTATTTGCTTTCTGTCCCAGTTGACTGTCAAATTCAGTCAGTGGGACTTGCGTGTATATTGTTACTGTGAAGTCCCATAGCATAGTGGTTAGCATGCTGCCTCAAAGCGAGAGTACCCGGGTTTGATTCTGGGCCCGGGCAAAACCTTAAGTTTCTTTACTCCACACGCCTCTGTTTAACTAGCAGTAAGTAGGAACCTAGTTGTTAGTTAATTTATAAATGGAATCTTGTTGTTGTTGTTAATTGGCGGATTGCTTTTCTGGGAGTAATAATTGCTTCAAAAAAATAATAATAATGAATTGGTCACTTCAATCCACGACTGTTTGTGGGACACTGCTGTGCGCAATTGGCTGCCCTGTTTCGCCCCAAAAATATACAGTCAAGTCACTTTACAGTATTTTATGTGAAGCGCTTTGAGATGTAATAGGGCTCTATATGAAATACAAGGATTATTATAATCCACTCCAAAAACAATTGTGTCACTCAATCCACAATTGTTTGTGGGACACTGCTGCGTTCAATTGGTTGTCACATTTCGCCCACAAAATACAGTCAATTTACTTTACAATATATTCTGTGAAGTACTTTGAGACGTCTCAACGTGGTAAGGCACTATATCAAATACAAGGATTATTATATGAAGGATTATTATTACTCTTGGCCTATTTCATGCAAAGGAAGCAAAGAAGTGGGAGGAGGAAAATTCATGTGATTCATTGTGATTGTCACTGGTAATTTTTGTTGTAATTTACACATCCAGCTTTATAACTGCTGACTAAGATTTCTCCCCCAACCACATGAAAACGGTTGAACGCAGACACTTGTGGCAGTCGTTGAACCTGCTGCCTTGTAGCGTTTCAATATTGGCTTGTAGATTCCTGTCTTATTTAAATTTTTGGAACCCCTTACACATCTGACATTATTGATCTGGGATTACTTTTGTTATCCCAGCACACACTCCTGAGTTACCCTACTCAATTTCAACCTTAAAATGAAGCTAAAAATTGTTAGTTTATGCTTAATCAAAAATGCTATTTAATACTGTTATTAAATTGCAGCTTCAAGCAATCCATAGATTTGATATGCGCAGTGCTGACTTGCAGCCATGGGAATTGTCTCAACAGATGTTACAATTCTAGGACTATACATTTCCTGTGTGGTTTTGGAAATCGGTGAATGGCACTTTGCCAGGTTACAAACATTTATTCCACTGCAGATGTGGATAATTTTGGAAGGCATTTGTTTGACATAACATGACGTGGATCTAAACCTGTTCCTCTAGGTCTGTTGGCAAACAGATGTATTGTGCCATTATGGAAAGGATCAAGGATCAAATATTGATGGGTGGACAGTGATAAATTTGGTTGAGCAGATATGAGCCTGAATATTAAGGAAGATAATTTTTTTGTTTTCTATGACCCCTGAAATCTGTCTAACTGCTCACATTTCTAAACCAATCAAAAGAAAGATATGACTCTAATGTACACAAACTGGATCAATGGAATCTTTACCAGTTTATGTATTTATCCATGTAGAAATTCTGATGCGACTACATTCAAAATATTCCTATCTATTTCAATACTTAACTATCAATTAAAATATTTACATGAAAGATTTTAGTTATGCATTTCACAAAGTATTTTTCAAATTCGCAATGAATATCTTCAAAAACAGTGTGTGTTCTGTTCACTATTGGCTTGCAAATCCCTTCATCACCTTTTTAAAGCATTTGTGTTTGAAAATATGGATGTCAAATGAACTATTCAAGAACTTTCAACTGCAGAGTGAGTGACAAGCAGGAAAGGCTGCTGGGTCACAGTGATGTACAGTTACATAATGGAACTGGGTTCTGGGAATTTGGTTTTAATATAAACCTTTCCAAAGTAGGGTTATATGAAACCTGACGCGTGCTATTTTTAAATTAAGCTGTAGAACAGCATAATATATAAAGATCACAAGGAAACAAAGTAGAAATATGAAAAGGAATTCAGGCCATCTAGTTCTTCCTTTAGGCCAATGTTCATAACGCACCCATTACCATGTTTATTTCTTGACTGCCTTGGCGCTAAGCCATGTGCTTCTGTTCCTTACTGAATCATAAGACTGCCTGTTCATTTCATTGGTTTACGATAAGTGCCTGCAAGTACATTTGAACTCTCAACAGCCCATCTCAATTTGTCTTGACAGAAAAAACTGCAGAGTCAGTGTCTTTCTTGTTTTATTTTGGATTAACTTTTAATTCCTCCTGGGCTAACTTGTCTCAGGACAACGTTAACTGGAAGACAGTGTGTAATAAAATGCAGACAGCAACAAGACGCAAATATACACTGGTAAAGATGACTGGGGGAGTAAAAGCCTTTATTGCAAGTTAGTTAGGATGAATGTTTTAATTACAGAAGAAATGGTATTAAAGGATGAGAGAGTGTGGTGGATTTTTAGGCTTGGTAAATCATAGAAAGTTGGAGAAGTAAATCCAATTTTTCCCAGCAATTTACAAATGCTGCCACAACTGGCTAGTCTGTACTATACTAGTC